TGGGGTTGGGGAGATGGGTCACTAGTAAAGTGCTTGATGTGCAAACACGAGAACCCAAGTTACTTCCCAGCACCCATGCGAAAAGCCCAGTGTGGGGATGTGTACCTGGAATCCTAGCACTGGGCAGCAGGAGTGGGAAGGTTTCAGGGACTGGATGGCCAGCTGGCCTAGTAAACAAGATGGAGAATGGTTGGAGGAAGACACCTGACATTGTGACATTGATCCCTGGCTTCCACAGGTATGTGCACACATACACACTCGCACACACACTTACACACACCCACACACTCACACACACTTACACACTCACTTACACACACCCACACACACTTACACACTCACACACTCGCACACACACTTACACACTCACACACTCGCACACACACTTACACACACTTGCACACACTCGCACACACTCGCACACACACACACAGATGCTTAAATTATTAGCACAGGGCATATCAGCCATACCTGAGTGATACATAGGTGTTAGGTCACCACTAAGTTCCATGCCAAGCAAGCACTGTGTTTTGGCTTTTTTGTTGTCTGGTTGGTTGATCATGGAACCTGGAGCCTCACACATACTAAGCAAACATTCTACTGATGGAGCACATCCCCAGCCCTCAAGTTCTTTATTAAAATGTACAAAACTGACTTGTAGAAGTCAAAAGAATATTCTTTCAGGGAGGTTAATGAAGGGGCTGACGGCTCCTGTGGAGTGATACGGGTCTCTGTTCTGAAGGGACATCTGACAGAAAAAGGCCTTTCCTTAAACTTAGTCTGCAGCCCCCAGACCCCCGAGGTACTTGTGAGTCATCAAGGCCCTCAAAACCTTTTCAAAGAATGTACTTACAAATTTCCGTACACAGTGGACCTTGTTTTTGTCCCAAGCATTGGGAATGGAGTCCAGGCCCTTGACTGTGTTAGGCATGTCCTGAGCATGTGCCAGCCTATCCTTTTACATTAGTATGGGATTTTGTTTTTGTTTTTGAGACAGTGTCTTGCTATGTAAGTAGCCCTGGCTAGCCTGAAACTTGCTTTGTAGACCAAGCTGGCCTCAAGCTCAGAGATCCTCCTGCCTCTGCCTCTTGAGTGCTGGGATTAAAGACATACACCACCACATCCAGCCTACATTTGTTTTAATTTTTACTTTAATTTTTAAAGACAGTGTAGCACTGTTTCCCAGACTGGCCTCCTAGTCTATGGGCACAGAGGGACAGAGACAGGATGGAGAAGGATCATTACCAACCAGCTGGAGCTGGAGATGGTGGAGGAGGCCTCAGGTACCAGCTTCCCAGTGTGGTGACATCACAGACACAAGTACAGATAGAAAGCAGCCAGGCTGGGATCAATGAAGACTTCCTGGCAGGACCATGGCCAGCTGATCTCAGAGGAAGTAAACTAAATGGAAGATGGGGGGAGCAGAAGGGGACACTATCTAAAGCTCGGGCCAAGGTACCCCGGATGTGAGATCACCCAGACCCAGTCTTGCAGGAGGCTGCTGCTTGTCTCCCCAGAATATAACCAGGAGCCTGACCTCAAAGTGAGTCACCCGCCAGCCCAGCTGATTCAGCGGAACTGGGGGAGTGAGGCCGGGACTGTCCATAGACTGAAACGGCCAGCCAAGGTCAGGACTGTCCACTGTCTGGAAGGGCCAGCCAAGGCCGTCAGACCAGCAGGGCTGAGCCCCACCTGCTGGCACCCAGCCACAACAGACCTCTGTCTTCATAGTCAGAAAACCCAGGCCTCAAGGAAATGCTTTTGGCAGGGGAGGTGGCTTATGGCTGAGGACTCATAGGAAGGGCTCAGAACTGTGGCAGTCAGGGGTGAACGAAAAGTGAACTCGCGTAAATTCACTGACAGATGAAAAAGTGAGCTGAGGAGAATAATAATAATTTGCCAGACATGGTGATGGGAGTGTCCCCTGCTCTCAAGGCAAGCAAACTGCCCGCCACAGCTGGCCAGAGGCCACAGGCCACAATGACATGGAGACGTGTTCTCTAACCCAGTTCCCAATTGCACCCATGAGAAATTTGACCAGTGACACCAGCCAATCTCTTCCCTCTCAAGGTTTAGTCTACCCCGCTACCTGGCAACAGCATGGCCCCAGCCCAGCAATAAAGGAAACCATAGGGTATCAGTCATGGGTACAAGGTTGGGACTGGGCCCTATCTATTTGACTATGCCCGGGACACTTGTAGCAAACAGGAGTCTGACCAACATAGACCCCCCATTTGCACTGACAATGTTGAAATGAAACTGGTTAGCTAGGCATGGTGATGCCAGCCTATAAACCCAGTAGTCAAGAAACTGAGGCAGGGGGATTTCATGAGCTGGAAGCCAGCAAGAGTTCTATAGTGAGACTTTCTCTCAAAATAGATAGATATAGATAGATGATGGATGGATGGATGGATGGATGGATAGATAGATAGATGATAGATAGATGGGTTATAGACTTTGGTTCGGATGTATGGAGTTACAGAAGGTAGAGGGGTAGGGGTGGGAATGGAAAGTTCATGTCTAATGTGTGCAATCTGGGGTGGGAAGATGACAGTCAGTAGAAGGGTGTAATGATAACTTCAATGTACTGCACCTGCAGACAGCGACCAAGCACTGCCATTTTACCTTTATTTACTTGTTTCTGCAGGACGAGATATTGAACTCACATAAGGTACATGTTAGGTGGATAGTCTACCACTGAGCCACACCCCAGCCCCTCACTGGGGGATTCTAGGCAAGTGTTTTACTACAGAGCCACACTCCTGGCCCCTTGCTGGTGGTGCCTTTAGATAAGCACTCTACCAATGAGCTACATTCACTGTCTTTTTTTTTTTTTACTTTGAGATTAACTTATGTAGACTGGACGAGGCTCAACATTAATGCTTTTGTTATTTGTTTTTTTGTTTATTGAGACAGGGTTTCTCTGTGTACCCCTGTCTGTCCTAGAACTCGCTCTGTAGAACAGAGTGGCCTAGAACTCAGGGAATTCACCTGTCTCTGCCTCCCAAGTACTTAAATGTATGCACCACCACACCTGGCTTAGCTTTAGTAGTTTTTAAAGTGTGTTTAACTGTGTGTGTGTGTGTGTGTGTGTGTGTGTGCGCACATGCATGCATGTGTTCAAGTGTGCCATGACATACAGCTGTAGGTCAGAGGTCAAAGTTTGCTCTCGCCTTCCACCTGGCTTAGGACAAGGTCTCTTGTACCACCTGGGTATGCCAAGCTAGCTGGTCTGAGCACTTCCAGATTCTCCTGTCTACCCCTTCCACCTGTGGAAGGAGCCCTGGGATTATATGGTTGATACTTAGTCTGGCTTTAAGTCTGGAGATTTGAACTCAGGTCCTCACATTTGCACGAAAAGCATTTTACCTGCTAAGCCAACTCTCCCCAGCTCAGAGTTAATTACGTGGAATCACCAGAACAGATTCTTATCTACAAGAGATTTAGACCGAGGCTCCCAGACTGGGAAAGGGTTCTTCAGTGAGCATTTAATACTTCATGCAGCACTTGGTGACATAAATAGGGGACAGAGGAGCGGGGCCACAGAATCCACAGATAGTTCACAGTGCAGGCAAGACACACGTGGCCGGGGCCACACAGCGGGGGGCAGATGGTCAGCTGGGAGGGTCACCTAGACGTGCACAGCGGGGCAAGAAAAGGTTGATCACACTGTCTCATGACATGCCGGTCACCCAGGGGACACTGAGCAGTGGTGGACACTCACGTGGCCCTCAAGTCTGGCTGGCTCATATCACACTCCACTGTTGATAGTTTGGGGATGTGAGGTCAAGCCTGGTTTCAGTACATTAACCCCTCATGTAGGGAAGCAGAGAGACTCGGGTGAGAGATGTTTGGGAGTCAGGGTACAGGGATTCAGGCTTTACACAGAGAGTCTGGGAAGGCTCAAACCTACAGCTTTAACCAGCAAGTTGGAGTTCCTTGCTGTCCCTTGGGGTCTCCAATAGGCAGGTTGACAGAGCCACGGCTCCTGGTCTCCAGGAGATGGGGACTCAGCCCAGACTCACCACGTTTGGAAAGCCCCACCATCAGCCACACTTCCTGCCCAATCTGGGCGTCCAGCCAGTAAGGGGTCACAGGCCTGGCCAACTGTCCTGACATGAGGTCAGGGTGCCTGGCCTACCCGGAAATGGACTTTCCAAGAGGTGTGAGAGTAAATGAGTGGGCTTAGCCACCACCGCCTGACTTTCTAGGGCCATAGCTTAGGCCCTGGATAGGCGAGTAGGATCAGTTTGGGTCCCTCAGGGGTCCTTCTGAGAGTTGGGGACAGTGGGCAGGGACTGAGAATGTCTTTCAGCCTCTGTTTCTGCTCTCAGCTCGAGTGCTCATTTGAGGACATCTCAATTTGTCATTCTCTGTTTTATACCTGGGCCTAGACCAGAGAATCTTACGAGGACCAGGGACAGTGCTCTGATTAACTCCCAGCTTCGGGGGGAAGCTACAGGGGTGGCTGCAGTCTCACTCTAGAGACCAGGCAGGACACAGGGCCAGTTCTAGTACAGGGATCTCCAAGAAGACTTGGAGAGGGGATAGGGTGGATCCAAAATAAGGCTACAGGGCCACTGTCGGGGAGCCAGCTGTCACTTTCCTGGTCTGGGGATGCAGTTGCCGCTTGCCCTTTGTTTTTAAAAAGCACAAGATGGTTATTTATTCCAAAAGTGAGTCCAGAGAAAGGAGAGGCTCTGTGCCAGGCACCAGCCCCACTCGGCCACGAACCAGCAGCTCCCAGGCCCCTGGCATAAGGAATGGGTCACAGGGCCACACGGGGAGGTCCCCCAGGGTGCAGGTGCAGCAGAAGCTCAGACAGTGAGGGAGATGAAGCTGTTGTAACGCTGGATGTTTCTCTTCAGGATCTCCGAGCAGGGGCCCAGGACACGCTCAAAACGAGGCCGGTCTAACTTCACACACTTGAGGGGACCCCGGGCCACCACAGTGGCTGCACGGGGCCGGTTCAGCAGCAGGGCAATCTCCCCTGGAGAAAAGAAGAAAGTCAAGGTTCATGGTATGGAATGGCCTTCCTTCCCAGTGGGATGCCAGGTGAACCTGTGTTTTCTTCCTTCTTCCTTCTTTCATTGAAACAGGGTCCCATATCTCTCAGGCTGCCCTAGAACTCACTAGGGAGCTGAAGATGGCTTTGCCTGATCCTCTTGTCTCCTCCTGAATATCGGGGATTGCAAACTGCACTACCATACCTCGTATATGGGTTTCTGGGGATTGAACCCATGAATTCTTAGCCCTGGTCTTGAATTACAAATGTAGGGTGTATGTGTGTGTGTGTGTGTGTTTTCCTAGGAACTGAACACAACCCCATGCATGTTAGGTAAGCATGCTGCCACTGAGCCACAGCCTGAGAATTTTAAAAATAATAATTATTATTACTACTACTATTTATTTTGAGACAAGATCATAATAAGGTGCCTAGGACAGGCCTTGAACATGCCATCCTCCTGTCTCAGCCTTCCTATAGGATGGCAAGCCCTGCACAAGTAAATGCAGGATCCAGCATGAACTCCTTCCTAGTTTAAGAGTGTCCTGTGAAACGCTTGCACTGAGTACTTGCCACGCATTCCCAGCCCTGCATAAACCAGGAGTGGTGAAGCACACCTGTGAACCTAGCACTCAGAAGGTAGAGGCAGGAGGATAGAAAATTCAAGGTCACTCTTAGCTATACAGGGAATCTGAAGCCAGCCTGGGCTATATGAGATTCTGTTTTAGCATCCTACCCCACCCCCAATTACATGTTAATTATCTAAAATTCAAGTTTACTTAGCGTTGTTCTGTGATCTGCCTGGGAGCCCCACATGCAACAGATGCTGTGATGTGGCTCAGGCTTCCCTATGACCTAGTTCCATCTGTAAGAACATTCTAGATGTACTCAAGACCCTCTTTCTTAGTAGCTACGGGAATGAGCAGCTTGTGGTCCCGGGTCTCTCGCCAGGGCTCTGCTTTCCCCCAGATCAGCAGGTAGACTCCAGGACTACTAATCCTGTGGTCTCAGTCCAGTCCTGGACCTCAGTTTGAGGTGACTCCATCTGAGGCTCTGTCACAGCTGCACGTGGCTTGCCTAACTTCCAGATCCCACTCTGGGGTCTAAGGAAGCCCCATGCAGCTCCTGACCCAGGACCCCCAGTGAGATGCCACATCTTGAATGGTGAAAGCCCCAACTCACCAAAGTAGTCAGAGGGCCCGAGGCGCCCCACTTCCACATACTCCTCGTTGGGGGATCGTCGCTGGAGGACTGAAGCAGTGCCCTGTGGGAGAAGGGACAAGCACGAGTCAGCCAAGGGTGGGGGTCGGCTGTTAGGGGGACATGTTGGAAGCTGCTTGTTGGGGTACATCATATTTTGAGGATCACTTGCTTAGGTGGGCATGTGGGGGGAGTCACATGTTGGAGAGGCGCTTGGGGAGTCTGCAGTACGGGCCACTGCCTGTGTGTCCCACTTCCTGCTCCTTTCCTCCATGTAGATACAGCGTCCTCCATCCTTAACAACGCTGGCCTCTCTTTCCTCTTTTTGGGTCCACCAGGCCTTCTGGGAGGCGAACTCCCATGCAATCTGAGCTCTGAGTTGTTGTGGTTGGCTAATGCACCCTCCCAGACACCTAGAAGCCTGTCTGTCCTGTCTGAACCCTGCTTTTACTGACACAATGGAAGCTCCCCCAAAACAGGGACCTACCCAGAGCCTCCCCCAGAGGTCCTGACAGTAATGGTGGGGATAGCCCCAGGGTGCCAGTACTTTGTCATTATGCTGAGAGCTGACCTTGGACTGCAGCTTAAGGACAATGAGCTGTCTTAGCCATGTTGGGGGGGGGCACTAGGGAGGCAGGGAGGAGCATGGTCTCAGGGTCACACACCTGCTGAGCTATGCAGCCCCTCCTTACTCCCAGGAGGGCAGCGGGTCTACAGACGGAGCAGGCTCAATGATTAACAGAGCAGCTGCAGCAGGTCGCTGGCCTCTGGGAACATTAAAGACAAGGCCAGGGCACCCCGAGGCATCTGGGCAACCAAATGCCTCCCATGCTCACGCAGCCGGCTACCTGAGATGGGCAGCTACACAGCTGGACCATGGCTCCTTTCAGGTAAGTCCTTCCTGAGTCACAGTCTCCACCTGTCACCTTCGTGGGTCAGGAAGACAGAGTGGCTTTTAGCATTGCCAGTAATTCCCAGTGAGGACATCAGAGTTTAGTCAAGTATGGTGAACCTAGCATCCCAGAATTTAGGAAGCAGAAACAGGGGGATTGCTGTGAGTTTGAGGCCACCCTGGGCTACACAGTGAGACCTTGGCCAAAACTCCTGCTCATCAAACAAAAATAAGGCCAAAGTAAAACAACAAAGACAAAAAAAACTCACAAGAAGGAGGAGGAAGAGGAAGTGGAGGAGGAAGAGGAGGAGGAGGAGGAAGAGGAGGAGGAGGAGGAGGAGGGGGAAGAAGGGGGATAGGGAAAGGGAAAAAGAGGAGGAAGGGGAAGGGGAAGGGGAAGGGGAAGGGGAAGGAGAAGGAGAAGGAGAAACAGGAAAAAGAAGACAGCTCTGAGTAAAGTCGTTTGCAACCAAGTCTAATGACAGAGTTCTATCCCCAGGACTCACATGGTAGAAGGACAGAACATCTCCTAAAAGTTGTCCTTTGACCTCCACACATGCACCAGGTCCCTACAAATAAGTAAATGTTTTTTTTTTTTAAGATATTTATTTGGACTGGAGAGATGATTTAACGTGATTGCTATTCTTCCAGAAGATTTTCATCTATGTCAGGTGACTCACAACTGCCTGAAAATTCAGCTCCTGAGAAATCCAGAGCCCTCTTTTGGACCCCATGGATAGCCACACATATAGCAGATACACACACACACACACACACACACTGAAGAAAGGATGGAAGGGAGGGAGGAGGGAAGGACGAAAGGCATAGAGAGAGACAGAAATACAGAGCCAGAGATGAGAGAGAGAGAGACAGAGACACAGAGACAGAGACACAGAGAGACACAGAGACACAGAGAGCTGCGGGTGGGGTGGGGGGTTCAGGTATGGACCGATTCTGTAATCACAGCACTCAGGAAACAGGTGCAAGGATAGGAAATTAATCCAAAGTCATCCTCAGCTCCACAGTGCATTCAAGGCCAGCCTGGGCTACATGAGACCCTTTTTTAAACACAACACAACACAGTGAGTTTGACACTGAACACTGCAGTGTGTGGGACCCACCTCCAAGGAGCCGGCGTTTAGCTCTGAGCTCCCACAGACTCTCTGATCAGCCAAGTCCCTGAGGCAGGCAGCTGCCTGGGGGCTTCTGCATCTCATTTAACACCCATGGTGACTGAGGCTCAGAGATGTTGAGAGGTTCCTGCAACCTGGCCCTCAGGGCCTCCGTGTGGGTGTAGCCAGGTCCAGGGCCGCCAGCCATGCCTAGATATCTCAGTGCCCACCCCACAAGTCCACTCTTTAGGCATAGACAGCACTGCATGGTAAGGTGGGCTTCATCACCCAGGCTCACTCACCCAGTCTGTGGCCAGGCTATGCCTGGCTTAACAAGTGACTCCCGGGTCTATAGCTGGTGCCTACAGTGCCTGGAGTCCCCAGGTACCCCTAACAGCCCCCGCAGCTGGATCCCCAACCTGGCTCCTGGGCCTCTGCATGTTTATGAATTTGGCTGATGGATGGAGTGGGGCATGTAAACATGAGACCACTCCAGGGCTGCCAGTGTGCGCAGGGAGGACAGGCAGGGAGCACAGGAGCGGGGAGCTCGCCCTCACCAGGGGCCCCAACAGAGGAGATTTGGCCCACTTATAAGGACAGCTCACAGTGAGCTCCTGAGCCCATGCAGAGAGGGACTCTGACTTTCCTATGTTAGGGCTGGGGGACAGGTGGGGCTTCCTGTCTTTAAAGTCACAGCTGGAGGTGATGCTGGGGAAAGTTTAGTCTGCGCTGCTTGCCACACAGGCATGAGGATCTGAGTCTGAGGCCCAGCTCTCACATAAAGCTAGCCTTTATAGTTTGGTGACCCAAACTTATAATCTCAGTATTGTTTAACTATGTAGTGTTTCTATACATTCACTGCCCCCCCCCCCCAATAATAATAAGATGTCCATTTTTTTTTAAAGCAATTCATTTGTGTTGGAGCAACGGCTTGATGGTTAACAGCACCTGCTGCTCTTCCAGAGGACCTGAGTTTAGTACCAAGTACCCATGTCAGCCTCCTGGCAGGGAAGAAGGCAGCCGGGTGATCTCTGTAGCTCACTGGTCATCCAGCTTAGCCTTAATTGTCCATCCCCAGGCCAGTGGGAGCCACCGGTCTCACAAGCAAGGTGGATGGTCTTTACATTCACATTCCTACACATGTGCACACATTCCTCCCACACTCACACCCACCTCCACACACATACACATGCACAAGTAAACACAAACCCAGGGTGGGGTATTCTGGCCTGGGGAGCCTGGTGTGCTGGAGTAAACCGGTCATTCAGGCATTTAGTTCTCTCCTTCTACCGTGTGGATCCTGGGATCAAATTCAGCTCAACCTGCTTGGTGACACGTTGCCTTAGCTCACTGGGTTATGTCAGCAACCTTTCTCAGGCAGAGGCAGGAGGATCTCAACTTCAAAACCAGCCAGAGCTATGTAACAACATAGCAACATACATACACACACACACACACACACACACACACACACATCAATGACAAAATAAAATCAGAAAGCCAACTTAATGCTAACAAACCATCAACCTATTCACAGACCTAGAAAATAGTTGGGGACCTTAGTGATCCCCAGCTTGTTCTTACTTCCTGCTCTGGGACCTCAGCAACATGTCCAGTCCTCTACTAGGCTGGCAGAAAAGCTGCCATGGCTCTGGGAGTCACCACATGTCACCTCTACATCACTAGCAAGGAAACAAAGGGAACCCATGTCAACCTTGGTTTCTTCATATGTGAGCTTGGGATGGTCACAGAAACTCCCAAGAAAGATGTCCACGAGGATGAAATGTAGCTTTCATGTAAAGCTTCTACATGTAAAGACTGGAAAAACAGAAGCGGCCACAGTGTGCCCTGTATCTCTCCAGTGTGGGGAATGTCCAGGCATGGTCCTACCCTCAAAGGATCAGCATACAACAGATGTTAGGAGACAGAACAGATAGTCAAAGTGCAGGCGCAGATGCGGGGACCATAAAGGGACATAGTCAGCGTGGCTTAGACACAGTGACCAGGAGGTTGAGCTCCAGAGGATTAAGGGAGCCAACCAGATATGTGAAAGCCTCCAGCGTAGGGACAAAAATCAGGCAAGATGCTGAGGTGGGAACAGGGAGGAGGTGAGACTGACGGTGGGAGAGCAGGGCATCAGCAGGGTACTCCATGCTTCCCACACAGAGCACAGGCATCCTGGCATCCCTGCAGGAAGAGGGGCTTAGCCTGAAACCTGTGTGGGGATCCCTGTGTTGCTGTGGGGCTCTTTGTTACAGCAGTTCCTTTATTGCCCTGAATAATACACTGTCTGGAGCATAACTGTCACCATCCTCACGTGAATATCACCTCATCCCACGTTTGTGATGTCAGCAAGCACTATGATGATCCACACACTCCCAGATACGCTGGAGACAGGCCATTGTCTCCTGTCATTGAAAGCTCCTAAGGGTGGAGGGGGGGCACTCCCAACTCAAGATCCAGCCTGTGTCCCTAGAAGCCATGGAAACAGCCAGACATCCTGGAGGACATGTCTAGAGCTCGGGCCTGGGAAATACCCATGCCAAATTGCTGGTTCACAGTCTCCAAGTTCCTCATGGCAGAGCTCAGTTCAGCTGCAGATCTGCGGCAGGCAGCCCAGAGGTAGTGCAGGGGATTGTCACTCCTGGGTGTCTATGACAGGGTCTGGTTACAGACACTAAATTTCCTTTTAACTACTGTGACTTTAATAAAAGGTTTTTTCCTACAACACTAAAAGGGAAGTGTGATTTTCCTAAGAAGGAAGCCAGCAGGGGCCACGAGACATCCACTCCTACAAGGCCATGCCCTGGGCTTCCTCTTTCCATGTCTCACAGTCCCGTTTGTGGCAACCAGAGGTTGGACTTCGTGTCCTCCTCAGCCAACTCTCCACTTTATTTTTTGAGACAGGGTCTCTCACTGAACCTTGAACTCACCAGTTAAGCTAGACTGGCTGTCCAGCAGGCACCAGGGGCCCTCCTGCCTCCATCTCTTCAGTGTTGGCATTATCATAGGCGCAGGCCACCACTCAGCTTTTAGGAGGGTCCTGAGAATCAAACTCAG